CAATCATTTCGGGGTTTTTCTTTACATATCCCCAACCACAATCAACTATGATATCTTCTTTTTCTTTTTTCTTTTTTCTTTTTTTTTTAACGATTAGAGTATTCGAGTCAGTTTACGCACACCTTGACTAATTTTAATGTAGGACAAGAATTAGTAATTATTCTATTTTTTATTTATTATTATTTTGTCTTAATTTTAGGACTAACTTCCTTTTTGATTAAGTTTTTTTTATATTAGTATTGTTATTCTAATAGGAATCGTATTGTTTTAGTCTATTAGGAATAGTTTTCATATTTTATTAGAATTAGAATTCCTTTATCTCCAAGGATTAAGACTTTAGTACTATAAATAAGGTTGTAAACCTTAGAATTAGGAGATCTTTTATTCAATATTATTGATTTTGCTCTTTTTGAGAGAGTGTTCTTAACTCTGGTGCACCAGATTTCTTTGAGTCCTTACTTTTATTGTGGTCAAATTCCCTCTTAGTCTAGTTAAAGATAGAACATTCACGTCGGGATTAGAGTATTGATAAGAAAAAAATCTCTTATGATCTAACCTCAAAAAAATTTAATATTCAAACTTAAAATATTTAAATTTATAACTCGTCCTTAGTATCACTTGAGCTACTCTTGAAGTAAAATACTTGATGATGTCATGTATTCGCGGGTGAAAATGGTGTCATATGAGAAGAGTGAGATTGAAATTGAACAGAACAGGAGAGAGAGAGAGAGAGAGAGAGAGAGAGAGAGAGAGAGAGAGAGAGAGAGAGAGAGAGAGAGAGAGAGAGAGAGAGAGAGAGAGGGGGGGGGGCTTTCATTTGAACTAATGGTAAAACGCCGAGAGAGGTGGATATATTCTCATTTTTAGTGCTTTTTAGGGGCCTGAAATGTAATTGGGCCAAAACTCGGGGTTGAAAATAAATTTGGACCGAACTAAAGGAGTGAAAATTCCTATGAGACCCAAAAGATTTGGGAGGCTTGGGTCAGTCTTTTCAATGGCCTATCTCCATGGGCACCCCAGCCTAAGGATCGTGCATTGGGTTCTCTAATTCCCTCGACTTTCATTTAACAAGCAAAAAGTATGTATTTTTACACTACAGAGGAAAGGGGGGAAAATCGAGCTCTTAACCTGTCACTCCATTGTCAATTGTCGTAACTATCTAGGTAGGACTGCAGCCTTTTTTAACAGCCCATTAACTCTTACGTGTTGATATAAACTCGACACGAACGATTATAAAATTAACACGATTATTAAATACGTATATTAAATAATTTTGACTAATATTTAATATTTATAATATATTAAATTTTATTTTTTTGACATGAACGTGACACGAATAAAAATGACATGACATGAATAACATGACTTGTAAATCACACGACAAGATTGATACCCTACTTTTTATGCTCTATTTGGTAAAAATGATGGAAAGTAGAAATGATGGAAAGTAGAAGGAATACATTTTCTATCCTTCAAGGATGGAAAGTAAGAATGATACAGTTTCTTTCTTTTGTGTTTGGTTGGATGGATGAAAAATAAAAATGACTAATTTTTTTATTTAATTTTTTTTTGTGCTGACGAATATTAGGAGTGACAATCGAGTCTTGTCGTGTCAGATTCGTATTGAGTCATAAAATTATGAGTCTTTTTTATTTCTTATTCGTGTGTTAAGTCATTTTCAAGTTCGTGTCATAAAATTCGTGACGAATTCAAGTCGTATAATAGTGTTAAGTCGAAAATTTTCACTCCAAATTAAGATGAAAAAAATATTTTTTTAATTTTTTAATTTATTTAATATATATATATATATATATATATATATGTATATATATATTTTATTATTGTATTTTTATATGAAATTAATATATAAATAATATACAGACAAATAAAATACATCTCAACACAAATAATTAACTTTTCATCCACTTTCCTTCTGATTTTGAAGGAATTAATTTTGATGAGTTAGAAGAAAAATGAATTCATCAACTTTTTCATCATTCTTATTTTTCTTCCATACCAAATATGATATTTTATTTATCTCTTCAACTTTTCATTCTTTCATTTTTTTTTCCATCATACCAAACAGAGCATTAATGTCTTGTCTTGCCCTTTGATAGTTAAATTGTTTATCTTCAAAGGTTGGATTGCGAGAAAGTTTTGTGTGCATTCAACACACCATATGACATATGATAGTGTCAAGTGGTTTACATCACCAATATAAATGGTGGTTACTCATTATTTTGTCAATTTTTTTTTTCAAAACCAGGTTGTGGATCCCCGAGTTGGTTTTGTGACAGCCTCTCATTGAGTCTGCATATAATATGACAGTGTAATATAATGTGTTAAAACTCATTCAAAATTTTCCCTTGGTTTGTTGCCTGGTTTTATCAAGTATTTTACTTGTTTTATGTCCTTTCCGGTTCTATTACTGTAAAGTTTATTATCCTACCAAAAAAACTTATGTGACGGCTGGTTGCAAGCATAACAAAGGCTAACAGTGTTGATGAGAAAACTGGGACCTTTACAGTTTCCAAGTTCGATACCAAGGGCAAACCAAGTGTCAAAGGATTGAAGGCCATGGCCAGAGACAAAAAATAGAAGCTTACCAAAAACAAAGTAATACTAAGCAATAGGAAGGCAACCATTCATTAGTCAACATAATATCCAGAATACATTTTCTATTGGTTATTGAAGCATAAGAGTTAGCCTGCCATTTTTTTTTTTCATACGATAAAGGGTATTTAGATCAGTTTACGTTCATTTCTACTAATTTCTTTTTTGGTTCGATTAAAGACAAATCATCCACGCCGAAACAAGAAACATTCACCAATTGAATTCCTATCCACTCCAGTACCTTGGCAGTGGGAGTCTCACCTTCAATCCTCATCCCATATATAGAATCTCCTCATCTCTCACTATTTCATTGGCTTCCATTAAGCTCTCTTTGATCACTTCCCAACCCTCGGACCCAAGTTCTGATTGAAGATCACAACTTCCCCTAATCTCCTCCCACTTTTTTTAAACCGTGCCAAGAAAAAGTCAAAAGGTGCCACAAACGCAGAGAGAGAGAGATAGAGAGAGACACTCCATGGCAGTTATTGCTTCTTCGAGATGAATTGGGAGATAGCTTTCAGTCGATTCTAACAAAGCTTAGTACCCATCGAAGAATGAACCAAAACTAGAGTAATTCTTTAATTTATCCCAAACATCCCATCACCAAAAGTAATATTTGCGTTTCTACCATCACTGATACACACATACAACCATCCATGTTATATTACATAGATATAACACATATTATTCGAGTTCATAATAATTGGTTTATGAGCAATTAATTTTTATTCATATCATTTTCCTTTTAACCCGATCAAAATTTTCAAATCTGGGCAACCCAAGTAATCTGCGGAATTTTCACGGGCATAACAATGGCAGATGCCCCATGAACTTCCCCTATGGTGTAGTATTTTGTCCGTTACACGAGCAATGAGATTGAAAGGTACATTGTGAAGGCAGATAGTGACTTGTTTGTTGTTGAAACCCTTCACTAGCGAAAGTCTAACATACCCAAAAAAAAAATTGGTAATGCTATGGTTATTAAATTTTTTACTCTACCTTTAATACAATTTTTACTATCAGATAAATAAGTTTTATTAATATTTAAAGATAGAGATTGTGTTACATTATTTGAAATGTAAAATTTAGTAAACATAGTATTACTCTAAAAAAATTTAGATACTATGCCGAAAGTAATTATTTTTAATGGTAATGTTATACTTTGAAAGGTAAAATTATAAATTGATTTTTGAAAACTCTATGATTGATCATGGGAATCCTTCAATCAGTTGTAACTTCTTATTTACGAGTTGTACGACCTTTAAAAGTTGTAACTACAATAATTGATTACATTGTTTTAGTATTGATCATGATTTTACAAGTTATAATTCACACGTTAAAAAATTATAATTTTTAGTGTGATGGTACCGTAATCTTTCCCTTCGCAATAACAATAAAGAATAATAAGCTGCCGTACAAAGCAATATTGAGTTCTTACCCAAGTCAATTTTGCTACATCTTGATAAAAGAAAAACTATAAAATTTGCTACATCAATTCTTAGCTTATATATTGACGGTGAAAAGCATGGAGAATGTAAAACTAGAGTATTAAAATACATCCCAATCACATAAAGCTTTGGAAAAAAAATAAAATTGCAAGTCCTTTTCAACATGATGAGATAGGGGTAAGAAATTGCGACTGTGATGGTGAAGAAAATTATAATAATAATATATTACCTATCTAATGTACTTGTGAGAAGAAATATTTTGGGAAATAGCTGTGGTGGTCGGCACGCATACATCAATCATTTATATGATGATTGCTATTTCCCAGCAGTTCCATTCAAATTGGAGAAATAGATATGTTGTATTTCTCTCTAATAAGTTCACTTTTAGAATAAATGTTGATGCAAAATGGTATTTAAATATTGAAGGTCTCGTGTTCAAATTCCATAAGATCTCTTCTTTTAAATAAAAAAACACAGGGATGGATCACCCTAAGAAGAACCACACTCAATGGAAAGTATTCGATAAATAAATATGTTGCATCTCTCTTTAACAATTTAAGTTTTTAAAATATATGATTATTGATTAGAATGATATATTTTTAAGTTATGTACAAAGTCTTGATATCAAAGAGTGATGTATGTTGTAGAAAGGTGATTGATCCCGTCATGAAATATGACACTGGAATTTATAAAACTACCAATAGATGTAAAAGAAAATTGCAATATTAAACGTGGGAAACGGGGCTAAAATTACCCCCCTTATTATTTGTGACATGTCCAAACTTTGTTATTCGGAAATATGTTGTATCGTGTCCAAACTTATTTAATGAGACCTACGAATTTCTTCATTCCCCTGCCATTTGATTATGGGTTTGATATTTTGGTACAATATTAAACATTGTACCGAAATATAAATATTGTCCCACCTAGGCGCAACCCATGCCTTGTAGACCCGTTATCAAACCTATCACATATGAGGCAATAGACAGAGGGACCGACAAGTTGCCAAACCCAAAAAGGTACTCAAACATGCTCATAATTTATCTTAAATCCCTACTCCCGGTGGTAAATGGAATATCTGAAACTGCAAGCTCAAGTGAGACCATTGAAGTTGATATTTCGGTAACATTCCTAGTAATGTTTCTCAACCCTACAAATCTTGTAAATTTTGATCATGTACCATATTCGGTATAATCCAAATTCATAGTTGAGGGTTATCTAATAATCCGAACTTCTTGACTGTTTGATTCGAATATAACATGAGATGGAATTGAATGAGGGTGTTTCATTGAGTATAACATGACTCATAAAGGTGGATAAGTGTGTTTGATCGAGCATAACACGAGATGGAGTTGGATAAGGGTGATTTGATTCAAGTATAACATGAGATGAAATTGGATAATTGATTTTAAGTTTTAGCATTCAAGTTATATTGGTGATAATAAATGTTGGTACTAGAAATTGCACTCTGAGCTCTTTGGATGGAATCACCTTTTCCCCGATAAAAGAGAGCACCTGCAAAGACAAGCTGAAGATTGGAGGGGCTCTAGGATTTAACCCTCCGATGCACAAGTTATATTGGGGGACTGAGAATGAGAAATATTAAGTTGGAATGATTATTGGCTACCTCTGTTGATCTGCATCATTTTCCTTTTATAGGTTAGCTTCATTGTATCGTTAGGGCTCCCTTATCCCTTTATCCAGATAGAGGCAGTTATGCTTTGAGTGTTGGAATTAATCTTGTTGGTTAAATGAAGGTCCAAGTTGAGTTGAACTAGTTAAAGTTGTTATGGAATTGAACTCTACCAAGTTGACAGACAGGCAAGGTGTCAAACTGGTGAGATAGGTCTCATTCAAGTTGTGGAACTCATTCCTCCGGGTACATGCCTATTCTACGGTTATCAATTGCCCCCAGTTAAACGCAATGTGATTTGCATGTGGTCCACATTTAATGTGCATGTCGGTTAGTGTCTTGTGAAGTGGGGGCATGGCTCGTGCTGATGTAATCGCTAAAGAGTCATTGTGTGGCTGGTATTTAAACACATCTTGGTGCCAATGTCCAACATGTCTCAAGAATCCTTCAAGAATTTAGGTATGCCTCTCTTTTTCTTGATATTTTTCTCCTCTTTTGTTTTACTTTGGACTTTCCAAACTATAGGACATAGGTTGGAGTCACTTTTCAATTTCACTTCTACCGATTTTGTTTTCTCAAGTGGAAAGGTTGTGAACTTGATCATCTAGAACTCTTCGTCGATAAGCCCTTTCGGGTCTGCCTTGAATATATCCTTGATTCTTGCTTCTCTCTTCTTAGCCACATTATAGTTGTCTTCCACCTTTTAACCTGTAAATCAATTACCATTGTTTTATAGCCATGAATGACTCATAACACACCTTGTCTAAGGGTACACCTTTCTTCATATCTAAGGCCAACAAAGCGAATGAGGACTCAGACTCCATTTTGGAGATTGTCTCCTCATCTATCAAGGTCGTAGGGGCTAAGAAATTCAGGTGCTCCCTCGACGAGAAGGCTTTGAGTGAGATTAGAAGGCATTATCAGATTCCTGACTATATTCATTTTTGTCTTCCTTCCCCTAATGAAACTGTCGATTCATTTGGGCCCAACAAAATTTGCTTTTACAAACCAATCTTCAAGGTTAGGCTCTGGTTTACCATGCCCAAATATATCATGGAAGCCCTTCATTATTTAAATCTTGCTCCCCCGTAATTTACTCCAAACAGTTGGGGGGTTCCTAATTGGTATTGGTGTTCTCCAGGCAAGGGCCAACGAAGTGAATGCTCGTCGTGTGATTGCCAGTTTCTTCCATTATTATAAGCTTATACCTTGCTCAGGATAAAGCCAAGAGTGGTTCTACTATTCGAAGAGAGAGAAGACTGACCTCTTGACGAGTTACTCCTCCAATGTGAAGGAGTGGAAAAATAATTTTTTCTCTGTGTCTAGGTCTGGCTGGGAGTTTAGGCCCTCTGAGGCCATCTCTAGCAAACCCTTCCTGGTTCCTCACCTATGGGGATCTCCTACTCCTTCTATTCGTAAGTAATAGTTTTCTTTTTACCTTTTCATGTAGTAGTTTTGTCTAACGTATTTCACTTGGTGTAGGTAAATTTGGTCCTTTGCCTGTTGAACTCAAACTCCGAGTTGAGAGGGTCTTGGCTTACCATACCAAGAACTTGCCCAATTTCATTACTAACCAAGCCCTCTTTGAATGCCAGCTAGGCCCTACCCCCAAAATTACTATTCCCTTCACACCTAGTCATTCTCCCCCTNTCCTTCAAGAATTTAGGTATGCCTCTCTTTTTCTTGATATTTTTCTCCTCTTTTGTTTTACTTTGGACTTTCCAAACTATAGGACATAGGTTGGAGTCACTTTTCAATTTCACTTCTACCGATTTTGTTTTCTCAAGTGGAAAGGTTGTGAACTTGATCATCTAGAACTCTTCGTCGATAAGCCCTTTCGGGTCTGCCTTGAATATATCCTTGATTCTTGCTTCTCTCTTCTTAGCCACATTATAGTTGTCTTCCACCTTTTAACCTGTAAATCAATTACCATTGTTTTATAGCCATGAATGACTCATAACACACCTTGTCTAAGGGTACACCTTTCTTCATATCTAAGGCCAACAAAGCGAATGAGGACTCAGACTCCATTTTGGAGATTGTCTCCTCATCTATCAAGGTCGTAGGGGCTAAGAAATTCAGGTGCTCCCTCGACGAGAAGGCTTTGAGTGAGATTAGAAGGCATTATCAGATTCCTGACTATATTCATTTTTGTCTTCCTTCCCCTAATGAAACTGTCGATTCATTTGGGCCCAACAAAATTTGCTTTTACAAACCAATCTTCAAGGTTAGGCTCTGGTTTACCATGCCCAAATATATCATGGAAGCCCTTCATTATTTAAATCTTGCTCCCCCGTAATTTACTCCAAACAGTTGGGGGGTTCCTAATTGGTATTGGTGTTCTCCAGGCAAGGGCCAACGAAGTGAATGCTCGTCGTGTGATTGCCAGTTTCTTCCATTATTATAAGCTTATACCTTGCTCAGGATAAAGCCAAGAGTGGTTCTACTATTCGAAGAGAGAGAAGACTGACCTCTTGACGAGTTACTCCTCCAATGTGAAGGAGTGGAAAAATAATTTTTTCTCTGTGTCTAGGTCTGGCTGGGAGTTTAGGCCCTCTGAGGCCATCTCTAGCAAACCCTTCCTGGTTCCTCACCTATGGGGATCTCCTACTCCTTCTATTCGTAAGTAATAGTTTTCTTTTTACCTTTTCATGTAGTAGTTTTGTCTAACGTATTTCACTTGGTGTAGGTAAATTTGGTCCTTTGCCTGTTGAACTCAAACTCCGAGTTGAGAGGGTCTTGGCTTACCATACCAAGAACTTGCCCAATTTCATTACTAACCAAGCCCTCTTTGAATGCCAGCTAGGCCCTACCCCCAAAATTACTATTCCCTTCACACCTAGTCATTCTCCCCCTCAGTGGAAAGTTTTATAGGGTTTTCTTCCCTTTATCTTCTTCTTTTTTTTTTTTATAGATTTAATATATCTCATTTTTGTAGGAATGGTCCCTAAGGTTGACAAAAAATTTCTTAAGGAAATTCAAGCCTCGAAGAGTGATTCACCGCAACATAAAAAGCAAAAGCTTCTTCCTGCTAAATCCAAAGGCCAAGCTATGAGCACCCATGTGCCCTCTATAACTCTTCTAAGCTTGAGTGTACCACCTAGACTCCTCTAAGCCTGGAGATGCTCTTAGCTACCCCTCCAATTGCTAAGGCGATTGTAATTAAAGGGCTAGACCTTGTTGGTGCTTATAGTGAGGGATTACACGTCCCCAATGTGCCCATTCTATACGTAGTATCGTCACCAGCCCCCTTAAAGGACAAGCGAAAGGGTAAGTTGTCGGAGTCTGTAGAGGAGGGGGAGGAACAAATTCCCCAAGTTTCTAGGTCCTCCAAGTGGGAGGATGTGCAGGAAGCAAGGGCAAGGCTCCTCAATTCATGAATGACAATGAAGTGAAAGTTGTCTTTAAAATGGGTACTGAATGGGCGACAACCATTCTTTCCCAAACCATTGGTAGGGTAAGTCTTTGTGAAACCCTTTTTTCTTTACTTTTTTTTCGCTCTTTTCCTTACTTCTTCCTTTCTTATGTAGCTCGCCATTCTCTCTACAAGTATATCTTATATTGAGTTAGGTGAGCGAAAGGTTTGTAAGGCAGAGTTTGTTTATCTAGAGGAGAAGATCTTGAAGTTGTAGGATGACTTGATTATTTCCTAAACGAAACTCCTTCAGGAGATAAAATAACACTGGAAGGTAAAAGGTCTCCTAAATGAAAAGTTGGAGGAAAAGAACAGGCTTCAGCAAGCTAAGCATAATCTACAAGGTAGCTCAAGCTCTCTGAGCTTACTGTTACTTTGGTAAAGACAAACTCCGAACTCTCCGGGGTTTTGCAGAAAAAGGACTTCGAGCTCTCTGAAGCCTTGAAGAACAAGGACTTTGAGCTCGTCGATGAAATGAAAGCTACCAAATATGTTGTCGTAAATGAGTATAAGGACTCTTTTGAGGTTAAGAAAAAGATCTTTGAGTACTTTGACAATGGTTTGAGGAGTTCATAACTCGTGCCAAGGCTGAATTTCTAGAGGTAGACTTTTCCAAATTCCAATTTGATGATGATCTTGCCTCAGTTGTTGGCAAAGAGAAAGAAAATGAGAAAGAAGAGGAAGTAGGGGATGAGGTGACCAACAAAGTTTTTGTGGAGGCTGGTGAATTAACTTTTCCTACTACCTTTTGTTTCCTTTTGTAATGTAAATTTAGGATTCTCAAGAACCTTATTGACTTGGTCCACACTCATTGGTGGTGTCTTAGGCTTCCAATGAATCTCGTAGGTTTAATCTAAGTTAGGTGAGGTGCTTTAAGCTTCTAATGAACCATTTAAGGTGCAATCCAAGCCATGCGATATGCCTTAAGCTTCTAATGGACCTTTTAGGTTCAATCTAAGCTAGGTGAGGTGCCTTGAGCTTCTAATAAACCCTTTAAGTTCAATCCGAGCTAAGCGAGGTGCCTTAATCTTCGATTAACCAAGCTAGCCAGGGTGTCTTAAGCCTCTATTGAACTCCTTAGGTTTAATCCGAGCTAGGCAAGGTGATCGCCAATCCTTTTTTGAATTGGATGAGCAGGGGTAGGTGCCTTTCTCCCCCCAATCCACTCCAGATCATGAGATACTTGATTTTGTATTAGTTTGGGACTTTAAGATATTGGGAATTGCAACCTTTCTTGACAAGATAAAATACTTTTATTGAAACTAGCTATCAGGCGAATCAATGAACCTTATTATAGTTGAGGAACAAAAGTAACTATAGAAAAAAACATTTCAAGTGTTTTGCATTCCAAGAATGAGACGGCTCGACTCCTCCTAGGGTTTCCAAGTGGTAAACTTCTAGTCTTAATACTTTTACCCCTCGGTATAGTCCTTCCCACGTTGTTCATAACTCCCCATCTTTAGGATCTTTGGTTGCTAGGTTGACCTTTTTTAAGACTAGATCATTTGGTAGAATATATGTGGCTTGACCTTGGAGGTGTAGTACTTTTCCATCCTGTTCTAGTATGTTGTGACCCTTATATGTGATTCTTCCCTCTTTTCTTGTAACAAGTAAGTTGTAGGCTTGACGTTGGTCGTTTGTAGATGGATTGAACTCCCCAGTCCGGTAGGTGGCTAGTCCAATTTCAATTTGGACAATCGTTTCCTTGCCAAATGTTAAGGAGTGGGGGTTCGGACTGAGGCTTTGTATGCCCAAAGGATACTTGATAGTTGCTCAACCCACCAAAACCCTCTGGAATGCTCAAGCTTAGTCTTGATGCCTTAGAAAAAGGTTTAGATAATTACCTCAATTTTCCCATTGACTTATGGATGTCTAGGGGAAGAATAGTGTTTATGTATTCCAAATGCAGAGTAGGATCTTTTGAACTTATCATTATCTAATTGCCTTTCGTTGTAGCTAATGATAACTGTCAGGATGCCAAAGCTAAACAATGGATTTTTTACAAACCCCTGAATTTTTTGTTCAGAGATTGTTGGTAGGGGTTTTGCCTCAGACCACTTAGTGAAGTAACCTATAGCAATAACTGCAAATTTTGTCTAACCTTTACCTTTTGGGAAGGGCCCAACAATATTAATTCTCCACTGGACGACCTGACATGGGCTCAATATGAGAGTGAGCTCCATGGGACGTAATTTTTAGACAACAACAAACTTCTAGCATTTCTCATATTTCTGTACATAGTTCTGAGCATCCTTTTTCATTGTTGGCCAAAAATACCCATATCTTCGCACCTAGTGATTTCCACAAACTCATTTGTGTTCCTCCTCGAGCATATATGATACTTCACTAGGACTCAAACGCCTTAGGTATGGGAGCGAGTACCTTCTTTTGTAGAGCACCTACTTGAGTATTGTGTATTTGGCAGCCCTTCTACGGAGCTTCTTGGCCTCCTAGGCTCCTTGTGGGAGAGTTCCGTGTTGTAAGTACACATATATTTCACCAACCCAGCTCAGTTCTTGAGCCACTAGTTGAACTTTCGTGCTTTGAGTGCTTGGTTTTGGCAAGAACTCAATAGAGATGGTTCTAATTAGGGCATCAGATAAGGCTAAGGCTAGTTGTGCTAGTGAATTTGCATGTGAATTTTGTAACCAAGGTACTTGGGGCAATCTCAAAATGCTCAAAATTTAGCACAAGTTCCTATACAAAGGACAAGTAGGATTTCATACGAAGCTCCTTAGTCTCATAATCTCGTTACATTTGTCTTACCAATAGCTGCGAGTCGTTATATGCGTGCAAATATTTCACTCCAAGTGATTTAGCAAGTTTTAAACTTGCAATGGGGGACACATATTTGGTTCGTTGTTTGAAACCTTGAATCTAAAGAGTAGAGCATATTCAACCTTCTCTTCAATTGGAGAAGTGAGGATTAGTCCAACTCCTCCTCCAAGCTAGTTGGGAGATTCATCAACATACATCTTTTAAGTGGACTGCTGAAGGTCTTGATCAGCTTGTGTGGGCTTAGTTTCCCCACTTGTAAATTCTACAATTAGATTTGCCACTAATTTCCCTTTAACAGAGGTTCAAGGCATGTATCATATATCAAAGTCTCCTAGCTCAATGAACCACTTAGCCAGTCGTCTGGACACATCTGGCTTCTGGAGGATCTATTGTAGGGGGACATAAAAAATAAGCACAATGGTATGTGTTTCAAAATAAGGCCTCAATTTTTAGAAGGCTATAACCAAATGTAAAGACTACCTTCTCTATTGTGGGGGTACTTGGATTATGCCCCCCTCAATGTCTAGATTATATAATAAATTGGATGTTATGCCTTCTCTCTTTGGCTAACCAAGATTGTGTTGGTTGCTTTTTGTGACACAACAAGGTACAAGTACAACTTTTCCTCTTATTCTGGTTTTATTAAGAGTGGGGGCTTACTTATGTATTCCTTGAGGGATTTGAAAGCCTTTTCACACTCTGGGCTCCATTTGAATGCCTTCTTTAATACTTTAAAGAAAGTAAGGCTTTTGTCACTAACTTTGGAGATGAATTTGTTCAAAGTTGTTACCTTTCTTGTTAGCACCTGAACATCCTTAGTGCTTTGAGGAGATCTCAAGTTTACGAGTGCTTGAATTTTTTGGGGTTGGCCTTTATGTCTCTCTAGTTGACTATGAATTCCAAGAACTTTCCTAAATAGACCTCGAAAGCACACTTAGCAAGTTTGAGCTTCATATTGTACTTTCCAAGTATTTCAAAAGCTCATCTCAGATGATCAATGTGCTCACAGGCTTTTGATGAGCATATCATGTACATACACCTCCATGGAGCTCCCTACGACGTCTTTGAACATTTAGTTGACCAACCTCTGGTGGGTGGATCCTGCATTCTTCAACCCAAAAGGCATTACACTAGAGCAATACGTTCCTTCATCCATGATGAAGGAAGTCCTCTCTTGATCTAGTTTATGCATCATAATTTGGTTGTAATCGGAGAATGCATCCATTAAAGTGAGTATTTTATACCCTATTGTAACATCAACCAAAACATCAGTTATGGACAATGAAAAATAGTACTTTGGGCGTGCTTTGTTTAAATTAGTGATATCAATACATATTCGCCATGTTTCACTAGTTTTCTTTTCTTGCACCACATCGGTTAGTCATTCTTGGTACTTAACTTCTTTTATTGAGCTTGCTTCAAGAAATTGTCTCCTCTTCACTGATTGCTTTGTTCGTTAGGGGGTGAAATTTCGTCACTTTTGTCGCATTGGTTTGAAGGTTGTAATGACATTCAGTCTATGTTTTACATCTGTCAGATAAATTCCCTTTATGTCTAACTACTTTTAAGCAAATACATCTCTGTTGGGATGCAAGAACTCCATAACTAACAGCTTTAGAGTTTTTTCGAGCATCTTTCCTATGTAGGTGATCTGCTCAGGTCGTTCCTCCAATTTGGATTGGTTCAAGGTCTTCAACAGGGCAGGGTTGCTCGACTTCTTCTCTGTGATCTAGATATTATATATGTAAGTCTTCTTGATGTTGCTTCTTTTGCATGGAGGTCACGTAGCACTCTTGTGCGGCTACCTGGTCACCTCGTACCTCACCTACTTTTACCTTCATTGGGAAGTACAGCAAGAGATGATACGTTAATGGTATTGCTCTCATCAAATTTAGGCTTGAGCAACCCAAGATGACATTGTAGGTTGAGGGATAATCTAATACGAGGAAATTAGTCATAATTCTGGTTTGGTGTGGAGTTTTCCCTGCAATGACTAGGATAACAATGTCCCCCAGTGGATAAGTCTTCTCCCCTAAAAATTTGATTAATGGGGAACTAATGGGCACCAAGTTATCTCTACCTATGTTTAACTTGTCAATGGCATGAGTGAATATGATGTCCATCATGCTCCCACTGTGTATCAAGACTCTCCACATGGAATAGCTACCAATAGTTAGAGTCATCACTAGGGGATCGTCAGGTGGGTGCTGAATCTCTTTGAGGTCATCGCCGGAGAATGTGATTATTTGGATCAACCAGGGCTTTTTCCCATGGTTTATCAAGCTAAATTCTTGCTCGACCTTTGCCTTGAGAGCATGGGCTTGCCTGGCCAAATTGTTTTCTCCACCACCAGTGAACCCTTTGGAGATTACTCTTACCTCATCTATGGACCGTTAGTGCTGCACCTCGTCCTTGTGGGGTTGTGCCTCTGCTTTCTCCTGGTGTCTACATTCTACATACTTACTGAGGTACCCTTTTTGAATGAGATCCTCAATCTAGTCTTTGAGGACTAAGCAATCCTAAGTGGTGTAGTAGTGGTCTCGGTGGAACCTACAGTACTTGTCCATGGGTCTTTTGTTGGGGTGAGTTTGCATTTTCCTTGGCCATTTCAAGGCTCAATCATCCTGAATTTGGAAGAGTATACGTTCAACTGGGGTATTCAATGGTGTGTATCTATGAGCTAGCTAAGTTGAAGCCTGGGGACCTAGGTGATCCCCAGTGCTCATGCGTTCAATCCAGTTCTTCTTGGGACTTCTTGCTTTGGCATTCATGCTTTGTTGGTCACTCCTCTTCCTTTC